CATTGCTTGGTGCTACTGGACCTGGCTGTGCTGTCAAGCCACCACTCTGCCTCAGTAGCTGTTGCCCTGGTGCTGATGGTAGGCCTGGTTGTGGTGTGATGCCACCCCCATTCTGCAAGGCTTGTTGGCTGCCATGCCCACCATTCAGCAATGCCTGTTGGCTCCCATCTCCTGGATGCCCTGGTGCTGCTGGTAGGATTGGTTGTGATGTCATACCACCCCCATTCTGCAAGGCTTGTTGGCTGCCATGCCCTGGTGCTGCTGGTAGGCTTGGTTGTGATGTCATGCCACCCCCATTCTGCAAGGCTTGTTGGCTGTACTGTGGTGATGCCAAGCCACCACCACTTTGCAATGCTTGTTGGGTTGCATTTGCTGGTTGCCCTACCTGTGCAAAGCCAGCCTGAATGCCACTTTGCCATGCCTGCCATGCAGAGCCCCTTGGTTGCCTTGGTGCTGTGAAGCCACCTTGACCTGTTTGCCCTGGCTGTGCCCCCATGCCACCAAAGCCTGCTTGGCAACTCTGCAAAGCTTGTTGATTGCCATGTACTGATGCTTGCACTGGCTGCTGTTGGTTGCCATTTGGTGGTTGCCCTGGCCTTGCCATGAAGCCTGATTGGCCTGGTTGTGAAGCCAATTGCTGCTGCTGGCCAAACTGTGGTGCTGGGCTGAATGGTTGGCCCTGACATGGTAAGGCTGCTTGCTGCTGGTGGGCTGGTTGTGTTGCTGGCATGCCTTGTAAGCTTTGCTGAGCTGTTGGCAGCACACTGCTGTGGTCTGGGCTTGCAGTCTGGTATCCATGCCTGTTGGCAAATGCTGTCATGCCCATGCTTGGAGCTGATGGCTGTTGCTGGTTTGCATACTGGCTTGGCTGATTGGTTGTCCCTGGAAGGCTGCTGCCAATGCTGGATGTTTCTGCTGTGCTGCTGCTGCTGCCTGGGAATTGGTGCGCTTGCTGAGCACCTCTGCAATGCTTTGCTGCTTCATCTCCTTGGGCTCATAGGGAGGTATGTCCTGCAAGATTTCTATATTTATGCCCACATCACCCACACCCACACTTTCTTGTGGTGCTCAATATATAGTGAAGCATCTACAAAGACCTGACTAAGCTAGTTGCGCTACTATGCTTACCAGCAGTGGCAAAACACAGCTTGCAAGTGTGAAGCACAGAAACATGAATGACTTTAGGTGTCTTCTACATATGTATGATCTTTCCCCTTGGGTGTTTGCTGTAGCCAACACCACTGTTTTTGCCACACCCCTGTCCTGGTGGTTGTAGAGCCTTTGAGCCCAGGCTTCACTGGAATGCACATCTGCTGCTTCTACCTGAGCTTCAAGGCACAAACATGGTTTACAGTACAGTTTCCACAAAATATGAGGGCCCACTATGGTATATTGGACTCATAGGTGCACATGTTTAAAGCACACCACTGGTTGGCAAACCCACACAGCACTAGGCAATCTAAACTAAACACCCTCTAGAATCAGAATTCATAGGGGAAAGCAAAACATACTGTAAGGCAACCAGTAGTTGGCAAGTTTCCAGCTTGGTGAGCCATGTTTGGTACCCACTCTCTGACTCAAAGATCTCTGCCAGGAACATTTGGAAAAACTCTGGGGCTGGACCTCTCACTGCATGCTTGCCACCATCAGTGTAGAACTTGGTGCAAGGAGCGCCTTTTGGCCAAATCAATTTGGCCTCACCACCTCAACAGTGGGAAGGCTTGCATATATGCCATGGATTGGCTTGGGTATGTGTGTGTAATGAGCCTGGACAGCTTATCAGAACATCAGGTTTATCAAGGTTCATCACTGACAAGCCTATCTTGCAAAGCTTTCAACACCACTGTCTCTGTTGGATTGGGTCACTCACACCAGCCTACCAGTCTTGTAAAGATGTCTACACCACTGGGATGAAGTGGGTGTGTATGTGGGTGAGCAATAGTTCACCACTCCTAAGTAAAGATTTCAACCCCACCACCAGGACCTGCAGCCAAGCAACCCTCCTTGCACAAGAGGTACATGTCCCCAGCCTTTGAAAGCTCACACCAATGCATTGGTCTGCTATCATGTGCTGGTGACAGGTCAGGTGGTGGTGCACTGGCCTAGGTCACAGCACAGCACAGCCAACACAGGGAATTGGGTGAGTGCAAGTTTTGACCCTGGAGAAATGGGGTTGGTTCATTTTAGTGAGCCCCAGAACTGGTGAAACACCTTAGGTGTGTTAGTGGTACACACTCTGCAAATATAGGCCTCAGCACCTGAAGACTAGATACTCAATGCCTGATACAACACACAAGTCACCCCTCCACCATAGACAAAGGATTAACAAGATTCCTACCAATATGTTGCCATTCTCAAACCAAGCTTCTCCAATGGGCTTTCCAGCATAGACATCATCCCACCCATACTTCTTTGCAATCATTTCCTGGGATACATTGCTCAGAAAGCACTAAGGCAACAGCATGAATAGGAGGCTATTCCTGATTGTTGCAGCAAGCACATGGACAGACTGCACACACTATGCCATGAACCTGCATCATGATATACAAACAAACCACTATGCCATGCAGGCTCATTTGCAACTGGGTATCCAGGTTGGAGTAGTCAGCATGCACCTCATCCAGCCTGCATTTGCCCCCATGTCTTGCCCTGAACCTCTGGGCATTCTCCACAAATTTCTCCTTCCTCAGATGCAAAGCAAACCAAGGGCCAATTCAATGGAAGAGATGCAACACCAAAAGGCCTCAGGAAATTAGGAACCTTTTGTAGCATTAGTTCAGGCTAGATTCAGCTGGCCTCTGTCTGCAGCCCTCAAATCTCTCAAGCGCAGCTGTGGGGGAAAGCCAGTTGCTAACCAGAAGGCCATACTGACTTCATCATCTGTCAATGTTTGCCTGGAGCCATCTGGGAACTTCTCCTGGTTAATGGCCTTGAGGAAGCGCAATGCATCTCTCCTGGAGATGGTTGGTGGCTCAGGCAAACAGTTACTGAGATCACCATCTACAGGTTGAGTGAGGTCTCATAGCTACATGTTATTTTACATGTATGTTCTTTGTGTTCTAATGCCCAAACTCTTGGAAGCCATTGCAATGGACATAGCTTGCACACATGTGTAGCCTCTCCTGGGGAACAAATTGGTGCGATTCTTTTTGCACCTCCCCAGGCTGACAGCTGGAACAGGCCTTTTGTCCAGAATCTCACCTGAGTTTGTAATTGCCAAGCCTGCATTGCACACATAGTATTGCAACAAGGTATGGTGAACAAGGCATGGTGAGTATTGAAGTGCATGTTGCCTCAATTTTGACCAGGCACTTGCAGCATCACTGGATTCTTCTCTGTCTGCAAGCAAAGCCATGTGTCATGATGACTTCAATTCATGTCCAATTCATGTCATGCCCACAGTTAAGCTAAGCAATAGTTTTGTTTTTGCATACACCTTTGAATGCCACCCACATCCATAGCTGGCCTCTCTTCCTCTTTTGCTTCTTGTCTTTCTTGCTCTTCTTTGACTTCTTCTTTTTCTTCCTTGACCTGACTCACACATCTTTGCTATCCCAAACAAATTCAATCACAATTTCACAGCCACTTCACTGCCACAACTCACACAAGTACATGCCAACATCTCATCACCAGCCCCACCCACAGTACTCAGTGCAGCTGAACTGCGAAGTGGAGCTGCCTTGGGTGGTTGGGATTGCTGGATCTAGGTAAAGAATCCATTCAACAGCAACAGCACATGTGACACCCTGATCTAGTAAGACATGCAACTAGCTTCATTTGATGACTTTGCAACCTGCATGCAATCTAGTGGCTTGAGCTGCTGGATTCTTCAGGCTCTGATGGTGCTGGTTCTGATGACCCAACTGAGCCAGCATGATGCTGATAGGGCACCATTTGCAGTCCTTAGAATTCAAAAGGGTAGGGGTACAGTCTATACCCACATCAGCCTACCCCCACATATAAGCCCTTAGATGTTTTGAGATTAAAAAAGGTAGGGGTACAGTCTGAACTCCACCATGCCCACATCAGCCTACCCCCACATAAGCCAATCCTTCATAAGCCCCCACACTTCAGCAAAGAATCCTCCAACATTCTGTGCAAGTGGAGGCTGCTGCTGGGGCCACTGCTGATAGGAGCCTGGGGGGCCAGGAGGGCCAGGAGGTCCACCATAGCCAAGCATCCTCAGGACAGACACAAGGAAAACTTTGGCACAGGACACAACAAGGGGCACAGGTACAACAAGGCACAGCTACCAGCAAGCACAGGTACAGGAAAGAACAACCTTATTATCACAAGATACACCTTTACCTGGACATACCATCTTAGATGATTAGCAAACATTAGCAGCACCAAGTCTCTTCTGCCTCTTCCTTTTCTCCTTATCACCACCCATTGCTGCACCAGGACAAGGTTCAGGGGTGCTCTGGGTGCAGCCAAATGGCTTCAGTCCAGCAGGCAAAGGTTGATTCTCTCAGCACCCAGGACACAAAAGTAACACCTTCTCATGACCAAATGAATTCTAGGATTGGCTAAGATGAGTCCACATGAATGGAAATGTTTTCTAATGTTTTCTAATGTTTTTTAATGTGTTTTAATTTGTTTTAATTTGTTGACAGTTCTGATGAACCTTGATGAAACCACCTCTGATGAGACTCCCTGTTCTCACGAAAGATACATATATATTGTTGATCCACTTGGGCATGTGCCAACATGTTCAACATGGCGAGAACCCCCTTGAGGAATGGACAAAATGGTCCGCGAGGCTTCTGTTCCAAGACCGAGATTCTTTGGAAGCATCTTTTTAAGTACACCTTTCAAAGCCCAGGCACCTAACTACGTTGGCACCATCAAGTGCCGCAATACATGTTCAACTCGGGTCGAAGGTCCAAAAATGTCCAAAGTAAAACCGTTTGATTGAAGGGGTGTGTCACTTTTTCAGAAGTCTCAGGAGAGAAACACAGCTGAGTGTCATAACCAGCCAATAATGAGATGGAAAAAGGGTTGACCACCAGGAATTTTCAGGGCGTGTGTAAAAAACTCTTTGGGGTGGGAGACCCATGGAGACGACCAATGGGGGTCTCCCCGGATGATGGGTCTTACAGTAGTTGGTTCTCCTTTTAATTTTCCTTGGAACGGTCTTTGGGGAACTGTCATGATTCATCACTCTTACAGTGAGCATTTTTCAGTGCAGTGATGATTTTCTCTGTTTCTGTGAATTTAATGACCATTAATTGCCTGGTGGCAGTGTTGACCAACTCCCAAATGAATGCGGCAGTTCTTCTTTTTCTTTGCTCAGGCGGATCCAGCAGGAGCATCTCAAATCTGATGCAAGCCTTGGATCCGACGACTTGAATAGAACAAGCAAGACTCACTTCGGAACAAAGTCGAGGACGGGAAAGGAACAAAAGGCAAAAGCAAAACGGGAGGTTGACCAGCATCATCTCACCCCCCCAATCAGGTCCTTTGCCACATCCAGGGTCGGAAGCACGTCCACCAAACGAACACGTTCCATGGCGCCTCTTGGGTCGACACCGGTTCCGATTCACCTTCAGTCCATCGACATAAAGAAGCCGGGTTTCCCAAAACCGGAAGGGGGAGGTGGGTGAACTCCACCTGTTTTGTAGAGGACAATGGTCTTTGCATGTGGGCCATGCCATGCCATGCCACCATGCCATGATTGTTGCAGGGTTTTTAGGGTAAGTACTAGTGTAACACAACCTGGCCACCGACACAACCTGACCACTGCTTCTGCTGTTTTGATGATATCTCTTCTTACATGTTTCCACCCCTCCCATGGGATTCAGTACTTGCCTTGCAGGAGTTGTGCTTGGGACCCTCCGCCCTCCGGCTCGCCACAAGGCTCGTACTTCATCTTCAGGGTGGACTCTACAAACCCCAAAGCACAAGACACCATCATCTTCATCCGTGTTCCATGGTGTCCATGGGCATGGGACCATGCGCATGAAGTCCATGACCCCCGAGCAGGGGACGACAATCATGCAAGACAAACCGCGCCTGGCACCCCAATGTTTCGCTCCGGGAGGCTGCAGGCACGACGATCCCTGCGACTCAGACTGTGTCTTGTACATGCCCTTGGTCTTGCTCCGTGGTAGCCTCGGGTGCGGTTGTTTCAACACGAAGGGGACCTGAAGAAGCATCCACAGCGATTCAGACACTCCCTCAAATAGTCATGGAAGTGGAACATGGCCCCTTGGATGCCAATTTCCTCTACAAACAGGTGGTTGTCCACTGCTATGATTATTTCAGCGAGCGCAAACGAAATAAGAAGCGGCCATCTTCTGAAGAATGACGGCATCCGTAAGCGTGTGCCCCACAACGACCAGGAAAATACCATCAACAAGGATGTGAGGAATAAAAAGGGGGTCTCTCGCGCTGTGGGTTGTTGATAAGCTTCGAAGGAAGGAATTGTTTTTTTTCCGTAGGAGATGATGGTGCTTACGATGTCCTGCATCATGTCAACACAAGAAGTTCGGGGCTTCGGATGGTCAACCCATGAAACGTCCGGAAAAGGTCCGTTACATCCGTGGAGAGCGTTGTCACCGGTGTTCTCTGCAGCGTACTGCTCCCAGAGAAAAGGGCGTTCGCAGCGTTCTTACAGTAGCCGTTACAGTTTCGACCAGCTAGGGCAAGGGTCACAGAGTTTAACCAGTAGTAGTGATCCCAAATAGATAGTGGCACGGCTTCAAGACATTTTCGTGGGGATCTATAGTTTTCTATCTATTTGTGGGTCTATAGTCTATATGTATAATTTGCTGCGGATCAAAGGAAGTGGAGCCCAAAAAATGCTGGAGGGTTGACCATTCTGTGATTTTGTTCAGTGGTCAACTGGGTCAATTGAGGTCTCCCAGTTTTGACCCAGAGCCATGTATGTTGTTGTTGTTGGTTGTTGTTGTTGGTGTTGTTGTTGGTAGAGACAAAAACAGCCGCCCAACATAGTTGTCACATGTTGCAAGTCAGGGATTTCAATGGGATTCTGTTAGGGATAGGGTCGAAGGTTTGGAGAGATGTTAGTAGCTGGACTTCTTGTCGTTGTGGTACTCAAGTCTTGGTTGGCCTGCTTCTTGTTTTTTGTTGTGTTGTTTTGGGGGGGGGTGTCAAAAAACAACAACGGGGTTGCAGATTTTGTTTCTAGGGGGGGGTAGAGACAACAACATCTTTTGGAAGGGGGGGGTCCAAAAAGTTTCTACTGTTCAGTTATGTCCCCAAAATGGCAGCGGTTGTGCGCCCGGCTCTTTTGCTCAACAAGGCCAGTCGCGGCCAATGTAACGATGCCAGCGCCTGCGTCACGCCCTGCATCACGTCTTTGGCGCTCTTGATTCTGAACAGATCTGACTGCCGTCCCATGAGCCCCCTATGGGCTCACTATGGGAATCTGGTAAAGAAAGATTATAGGGCTTTGGACCACTGTAGTCCGGTCGAATTTTGCGTCCCAATTGCAAAGTGGGCTGCTCCAACGGCCGCCTGGTGCGCTCGAATGTGGGGCGCTGAGAGGCTCAGCTGGGCGCATCTCCTGCGTCATGCCGTCGAGGACACCAGCCGCAGGCAGAAACCGAACGGCTTGCTCAACTCCTTAGGTTGCAAGGCGGTGGTTCTGGGATTAGGTGGACATGACACCCCTGGGCCTGCACTGGCAGGGTTACCGTGGGACAGCGGTTCGTCCACGCACGTGTGAGGGACAGCGGTCCTCCCACTGCACCTGTTGTGGCCGCCATGTGGCCAGGAATCGATGGGTACGTGTGACGGTGGGACTGCGGGTCATCCACCTGGTGGAAAAGTCCAAAATGTGGGAAAGTAAACGTAACTTTCTAATCCGGGCACGTTCGCGCTGGGCCCCGGCGCGAGAAAACAAATTGGTGGGCCGTGTGTGTACATGTGTGGGTGTGTGTGTGGGTGGGTCGTTTTTATACCTTTGGGAAACGGACCCTGGCCCAGAACACCGGGGTGGGACTGCGGCGCATCCACCCAAGGACTTGCACACTGGTACCCGGGGATGTGTGGAGAGTCAGGGGATGTGTCACCCCAAATTTCCGCCGGGAGGTGAAAAACTGATATGAAGTGGGACAGCGGTTCATCCACCAACTCCAAAGCTCTCGTATGTTTCTTGTGGAGACTCGGCAGGCGGCCCGTGGGCCTGCGCGGGCAGCAGGGCTTCCAAGGGCCATTGCCCTAAGGCCAGGGGTAAAACCGGCATAGGTGGGTTGCGCTGAATCAATGGTATTGGCCAAACAAGTAGGACCCGGGTGGTAGACACAAAATATGTAAGAGGGGAAATGTAGGCGAGGGTGGGCGGGGTTGATTTGAAAAATGAACCGTGTGCTGCCTGTATGCTTGAGCATAACATAGGCAGCACGAAACTTGCTTTGCCGACCTAGCCAACCTACAAGACCATGGCAAACCGAAGTTTCTACTGTTCAGTTATGTCCCCAAAATGGCAGCGGTTGTGCGCCCGGCTCTTTTGCTCAACAAGGCCAGTCGCGGCCAATGTAACGATGCCAGCGCCTGCGTCACGCCCTTGGACTAGTGCAGGCTGCTGGCATTTTAGGATGCTGCACACCTCTCCAGAAAGCGCGGCCTGAAATGCCATGTTACTCCAATAGTCCAAAAGCATCCCACAGGTTGGAGAGTGGAAAGGCTGATCGAGTCTGCGGAGACTCGTGGCTGAAGTGACCACGGCTCAGGTGATCAGCTCTCCAATTGTCTTGCGAAGACAGGCGGTACGGTGTGAGCCTCGACTGGGAAAATTGTAGGAGAACATTAAGAATTTGCAGGACCCTGGTTGCTGGAATACACGTGGTAAACCCGTGACAAAGGATTCCCTCAGCGGATTGGTTGTCCAGTCCACTAACTATCTCAAATTGGGAAGGGTGGTGTGCGATTTGGATCAACAACATCAATGTCAGCACTTGAGCTGCAAGCTCTAATGAGGCTATCAGGCGTTGGGGCGGGTGGTCCGCCAGCCAGGAGGGCAAGTCCTTTGGGGTACCTTGGTAAGCACACCATGAGGTGAGCCCGCTTGGGAACTCGATCCATGCTCCAAGTCCAAAAGAAGCTTCGTCAGCGCAGGCATCGGCAGCGGCCTTGATCTGAAAGCGAGGAATGAGGGATAGGCTGATGGACATGTCTGACATGAGAATGACGGAGTGCATGGCCTGGAGAAGGGACACGTCATCAGGAAGTAGCTTAACAAAATTGGACCGGGTGTTGATGAACGAGCACCATGCGTGCTGCAGGTGACCACAGTGCGCAGTGAGGGTAGTCAGAGATGCGCAGTCAGCGGCCTGAACTGTACCAACTCGTTGAAGTTTGGAGCCTTGTGGGATAAATGGTGCGTTTAGAGGCACTGACGTGGTGAAGGAGTCAGTGAGACTGCCCAACAAGTTTCTCAACGTCGGTTGCTGAAGGTGCACCAGTTGGACACCCTGCTTGCGAAGAAGAGTGTACAAGGGACCGAGGTACCAACGCAAAACATGGACATGCTCTGACAGCCAAAGGAGATTGCCTGCGAGCTGCTCCAAAGCTTTTCGGGAAACCCGCTTGGAGGATGTAACGTGGACGAGGAGGTCAACAATGCGTTTGACTTTGGCCGGGGGAACGGAAACCAGGTCCTGGAAGGAATCTATCTGCCAACCTATCCAACTGACGGAAGAGCTGAATTGGAGCTTGGACCAGCTGATAGGGACTGAAAGGTAATGGAGGGTGGCCAACACGATGGCGGACTGCAGAAGAGCGGTTGGTGAATCAAAGAGGAAGAGAAAGTCGTCGACGTAGAGGACGGCAGTATGACGACAATAAAGGACTCGGTGCAGCAGTCGAAGGAGAGCCCCCCCGAGTCTGGACCAATACCATGCGGAGAAGGTCCCCCCAAAGTGCGTGACATTGTAGGTGTACCAGTATTCACGGCCGGCGGTCCGATATGAGAACGCTAAGTAACCCTGATCCTGCTCATGAACACGTATACGCTTGTGTGCGGCTTTGATGTCGATGGACAAGAGGGTGGTCTGTTGTGCGTGACCCAGGGTGTGAGCGGAGCGAAGATCAGCCAGGCTTGGGTTGAAAGTCTTCTCAGGAATGGAAGCGGCTGCCGCTGTGTTGACCCCGCACACCGAACTATCCAGGACTAGGCGCGGATTGCGCGTTGGATGGGTGGCCACTGCAAGTCGACCTACAGCTACACGGATACCCCACCTGGCCTTGATTTCTTGCAGACCGCCGGGGATGTGGGTAACATAACCATCTTCTATCTCGGTTTGGATGAGTTGCCCTACAAGTTCGGGGGATTGTTCAGCTGAAGACCAATTGCAATCAGCCAAGGTGAAATCTGAGGCAGCCATCCGGGCTGACTCGAGGTCCTTAGTGGCGTCGGTCTTCAAAGGCCAAGAGCCGCTGGGAGGCAAAGGGCCATCGGTTCCCAGCCGAACCCCTGATTTGAGCAGGTCAAACAAGGCGACATCATTGTCCTCGGCTACGGATGCCAATGACTGGAATGCCTGAAGGCGGAAAGGTTGGCCTACGGGAATGGATATGTCAGGGTCTAGACCTTGGCTTTGGATGAATGTGTGAAATGCATCCAAAACATGCGGAGACAGGGTGGACAATTCCCGCGTAAAAGGGTCATAGGGGGGTTCGGACTTAAGTGCCGTAGTCAGAGCGTGGACGATGTCCTTACTTAAGAACAAACCCAGCAAGCGATCCCGGAGCGGCTTGAATACATCCGCACAGAATGGGAGCGGCCACTCCGCACTACTGTGGAGCCCGCCACCATCTGGAATGTAAGAACCTCGGTGGGGTGGGTGTGGGGGGAGCGAAGTCCAAAGGCTGTCCACACTGAGAGGACCGGCTTTGTCTGGCAGTGGGGGCAGGAGAGCTTGCACCACATGTGTGGCGATCACTTGTGGGCATGTGGTCGTAAACACATGAAGACCACCTCCAGGGGAAATATGTTCACAGGGGCAAGAGCAAGGCCGGTGGGCGGAGCGGATCCGGATGGAATTGGAACGAAAGCGCCGCACCGGGGTGGGCTGCTCGGTGCCAGTGGGATCCCAGTGGCAAGGTGCTATCACGGCTTCGAACGCTAGGAAAGAATTCATGGCTCT